CTCTGTGTGAACAACGAGGGTGGCCTCTTTGGCTCTGGAGCAGTCAGAACCACTCACCTGCCACAGATGGAGGAGTTGGAGTAGGAGACACTGGGACTGGAACGGAGGATCTGCCACCTAAGGCTGTGGTTGGATGTGCTATGTTCTTGCTCGGTCCTTGTGTGAAGTGAGGTTGCTGGGATTGAGATAATTTGACTTTTTCAAACCTTTTGGAACGTTTTTCTCAGTGTAATTGAAGCCGCACTTCAGTCATGCAGTAAAGCTTTTATTTGAAGCTACCAAGACTAGAAATGAATTCTTAAATGAATTCTGAGATAGTCTTATATTAAGAACAATTTCTTGTAGGAGCTGGGGTTCTATGCCACTTACATCTAAATATATTCAGATCTTAAGTCCATTTTCAACTTTTTATGGAAGAATATGGCATCCAATTATTATTACCCAGCTGGCCTGAATTGAATGTAATTATAATTAACTAATTAACTAAGGTTTAGACCCTGCCTACAAAAGGCGGGCCATTTCCTCCTGGCTGTGGAAGATGCAACAGCATCCTTGGAGCTGCAGCCCAGACCGGTGAGCAACATCTGGTGATCCCGACGTGATATGAACATGAGAGACCCTGAAGACTGCGACTCTGACTCCCTTGTGGGAGCCAGAGCCAAAAGAGCCGGAGCCAGAGCCGGAGCGAGAGTCCTTCGGTGAAGAAGGTAAAGCCACAAGCCCCGATGTGATATTTGCGGGAGGGAAGCGTGCTGGAGTTGGAATGAATGGACTGGGTCTCTGCTCACCGTAAAGCCGCCTTGAAAACACCTTTGAAAACAAAAAACTGTAAAACAAAAAGGGGGAATTATGGCATCCAATTATTATTACCCAGCTGGCTTGATTGAAACTGAATCACCTTTTAAAACAAAAAACTGTAAACTAAGGTATAGACCCTGCCTACAAAAGGTGGGCCATTTCCTCCTGGCTGCGGAAGATGCAACGGCATCCTTGGAGCTGCAGCCCCGGCTGGTGAGCGACAAAAGAATGCAATTCACCTCAAACACGTGAATGTTCATTAATAAGTGTTATAAGTTACCGTGGAGCTGAAAAAAATTGATCTAAGGTGTCAACTGTTTACGTGACAGCATGTGGAGTAATCTATTTATGACATTACAAGAGAACAATCTGTTTCTGCATTTAGAGTCAGTCCAGACAGCTCTGGAATACTGGGTGCCAGGTACTCTGTGGCACAGTTCAGGTCAAAACCCCAGGTTTTCGTGTGGATGGCGTGAATGCTAACGAGCGAAAGGAAAGATGGAGCTTGCGGCTCTGCTGCAGAGTTCCGTGCGTGTTTCTCTTTGGTGTAAAAGGAAACCGCCATGCATCTTCTCGCGTCCCTCCAGATTGAATCTGTGTCTTTGTTTAGAGAATAGAAATAATGTGTCAGTTGTGTTATGAGCTGGCTGGTAGTGGAAGGAAACACAGAAAGGTCCAGTCATGTGGTGCTCTTTAATTAAACAGCTCTGTGAGGGCAGGATTTGGGTCTCAGAAACTGGAGCGGACAGGGCTCTGCTCCCCTTCCCCACATTTTAATGCCTAAAATCCTCATTCTTGAGTTACATCTAGTGAGCTGTGATGACAGGGTATGTGGGAAGAAATTTGTGAAGAAGAGTGAGAATTGTCTGCTCAGCCCTTAGGGTGGGAACTGGGTGGGGAGAGAAGAAGAGACTATTGACTCAAACTGGCTGGTTCAGCCAAGCAGAACAGAACAGCATCAGCCCATGTGTAAGCTACTGTGTTATTCCAGTCACTGGGGAAGGGGATCAGTGCTTTGTTTATCAGGGGGTCTAATCACCTTCAAGTCCCTTTGACTTCAAGCATTAAGCTTCTGCTAGTAGCAGCTGGAAAATGAGACTCGCAGTGCCTGACTGACGAGGGCCCTTTTTGGAGCTCCCTCTGCAATGGTGTGACGAGCTTCTCAGCTGCAGCTTAAAGGCCCAACAGAGATTTTTGTGATGTGACTTAAGGGATTGCTTTCAGACATGAAGCAAATAAGTGATTAAGTATAAAGAAGATGTGGTAATGAGTTTCAGATGAGGTCTTTTATGTTTATTAAAAGAGGTCTGAAAGTTTTCTGCTACTATTTCTTGTTTTCTAACTTAAAAATTCATCTTTGTATCTCATACTGCACACTGTTTGCAAACTATAATATTGTCTTAAAAAAGTCTTAAAAATAAAATAAATCCAGTAGAATATAAATCTTTTTTTTTTTTTTTCCAGTGTATAGAAAAGTAATGAGCCATTTTAAGAGCGGGAAGAACATGCATTTTGAGATCCAATAGATCATCTAAATTGGTCCCAAACCGATTTTTAAAGTGGCATTACAAAGACTTTTGCTTTGAATAAATTTAGCAGTACAAAACTCAGAATATAAATAAAAATAAATTAGATTTGCTGATTGTTTTGTACTTTACTACTACTCTGATTAATTAGGGAAAAAAGGTCCTACATATGACCTTTTCTGACTATTCCAACTGCAGAACTTAAAAATGCTAAACTAAAATTTATGCCTTTTCAGTTGCTTCCATCTGGCTTTTTATTATGATAAAAATTTATGAATTTCTCGATAATGTAAAATATAAACCCTCGTTTAAATTTTCTGACGTTTGTATGTTTGAAATTTGGATTAGTGAATCTAAAATTTCCTTCTTACCTGACTTCCTGCAGATGTCTTGTAGATGAATTATTCTTGATTGTCACATCGTATGTTTTCAGTCCAAACCTTGTCTTCTCAATGGTGTACCTTGCAGCCAAACAAGCTGCTGTGGGTCCACGTAATGTGAACGCCTCATGGTTTCAGGGCTACAGAAGAAAACAGTACCAGAAAAATGGCTTCTATTCAAGGAAAGCTGTCTTTGTAATAACAAATGGTTACGCTCTCTCTATTTTAGTTCTCTACTTTGGGTGAAAGTATAATGTTCTAATATCTTGCAAACCTTGCAAAGGTTCTCCATGCCCATGCTGCCACCTGTTTTCTTCCTGTGCTGCATAGTGTCTTTCTCTGGGCAGAGCAGAAGGGCAAATAGAGAAGTAGGTCTATAGCGGTATTTTTAATGTCTTTTCTCCTGGACTCTATATTTCAATGCATTAACCAGCCTTCTGGAAAACTGAAATATTTCGCTAAGAATAAACTCCTCACTTTCTGTCCCCCCGGCTTGAATTTGGGAGTTTGAGACTGAACAAGGAATACAGAATTGAATCCATAATACTTAACACTAACAGTGGGTTGGTTTTGTTGATCTCTTAAGACCTTTAAAAGTGCTGACAAAAATTTCATGGGTATACTATATTTTCTTGCATTATTTTATTTACAAATTAGCCTTTGATTATACGAGGCTTACACTTAAAAAAAAAAGATATCTTTTTTAGTCTTTAAAAACTTGATATATGATGAAATCTCGTTTTTACCTGAAAATATCTGGACCCAGTATTCTCTGCTGTGTTGCCTGGAGCTACTCAGTGATTCATTTGTAACTGCATATCTGAACCAGAATGTGGAAACTGGTGTGATTTAGTTGAATTTCTCACTGAAGGGACCAATGCATGTAAGGTGCAACTCTTGCAGTACTGATGGTTAAACCCAGACATATTCTGTTGCTTTAATGAATTGAGGTGTATGCTACTTTATTACAAAACTTTTTTAAAGTTGCTTTTCTGTCTAGCTCTTTGTTTCTTCCTCTATTTTGACATTTTTTGTGTGTTTCCATCTGGATCCATGTATATATGCCTACTGCCGTGGCCACGTCTGTCTATTCACATTGTGCATACTTTCCTGTTTCTTAGTTAAGAGTTCCCTCCCTCCTCCATTTCCTTGAACAAGTACCCTGTCATTTAGATTTTCCTGTTTCTTGCCACTTTGTTCCTTGCTTCACCAAATGCTTTTCTCTTTTTTGATGATAGTATTTATGCTGCTGTCCTTGAAGATGACTGCTGATCCCCTGCAATGGAGGACAGTCAACTATTTTTCCTCCTTATTTCCAAATGCTTTTATGAGTACCCAAGCTTTTAATTGCAATTAGCAGTAGGGCTGCTTATAGGAAAAATTGTATACAAATAGTAACCACTATCAAATTATCTATGGATTTTTTCCAGACCACCAGCAAGTATTTGCCTGACCATAATTTGAGAACTGTTTGAATTGTATTGAGAGGAAACAAATCGCATGCTTGAGCATTTATGCAGCAAGAAATTAGAAAATCGAGGCTACATACACTTTCTGGGCTGTTAGAATGCTTTTTTTTTTTCTTTTTGATTTTATTTTTAGGGTTTCTAAAGGAAAAACACACGTAATGCAGAACAATTTGGTGAGGTTCTTTATTAACACATTGCTGCTTAGGAAAATCCTTGGAATATCCCTTGTTTCGGTTCACAGTGATTTGTGCTTACTACAGAAAAGTACAGTAAGGCCCATTTGATAAGAAACAAATTGTATTAGATATACCCTGGAGAAAAGTGAAGAATTGTATCACTTCCTTGTTTGCCATGTCTTTGTTAAATCATTCTGTTTCTAGATTACTGATCTGTGCCCAGATCTGTGTAGTGACTGTAGTATCTGATGGCCCACTTGGTGGCTTTAATGGGCAAATTAAATACAGGATACAGAACACTGTTTTCAATGAGTTATATGTTTAGGAAGTCAAGATGGTTTGTTGTGTGTGTTTTTTTATTTTGTGTGTGTGTGTTTTATTCTTTATATGTTTGTCAAGTTAGGACTGTTTTAATGCTATTTCATGTTTTGACTATTCTACTTTTTCTAGTCATGCTTTGGTGCTAAAAATGCTTTCATTTATTATTACGTTTTAACAAGTGAAAGAATCTCTTAGTCTGAGATAAAGTTCAAAAATCTACTTTAAAAGGAAATAAAACATTTCTTAAGTGACAAAAAAAGGGGAATTAGAAAAAAAAATATACTAATTGTCTTTACTAAAACCTTAATATGTTTGACTGACTTACTGTAGGTTGATGCCTTGCGGTTACGATTGGAAGAAAAGGAAACCTTTCTGAATAAAAAAACAAAACAACTTCAAGACCTCACAGAAGAGAAAGGAACCCTGGCTGGAGAGATTCGAGATATGAAAGACATGTTGGAAGTAAAAGAAAGGAAAATTAATGTCCTTCAAAAAAAGGTAAAATCACTAATAAAAGGATATGTTGTAAAACTTTTGAGATACGTTTAAACGAAATATATTTATTTCTTATATTACTTTTAATATATTTAAAAAATACAGGGAGTAAGTCTGTAATAATCAAGTAGTTCTCTGATATGAAATGTGTGTTACTGTTTTCCATGGGATCACTTCTGTAGTATTATATTGTAATTATATATCCCAAAAATATTAGGTGCTGTGGTTTCTGCAAACTTAATGGAGTTAAATGAAAGTCCTAAATATTCTGACAAAACTTCTTATTCCTCAACATGAGGGATTTCGTTATCCTTACTAACACTGATTATTAATCTTTCCAAATAGTGTAAAACGTGTGGGACCACTAAAAGATTAGGATACTATGTTTGTTTTTTTTTCTTTAAAGCCTTTTTTGGGGGGGGAATGGTGGGTAGGGGCAAGAGGGGAGTGAGGAAGGAACTTAAATTAAGTCAATTATCTTCTTTTCCTGTGAGCTAAAGACGTTAAGAAGGGATGCTCTGTCCAAACAGCTGCCTTAGTCTTATTTCGAATTTTCCACAAATTTAGCTACCTACATTTACTCTCTTTGGGAAGTTGGATTTTATCATTATAGTTTCCACTTGGGGGAGTGGGGAGGGCATTTCCTGGAAAGGCAGCTTTGCAAGGGTTCGGCATGCAGTAGTAGAGTGTTCATTTACCATATCCTTTTCCTCACACTCTCAAAAATCTTTATGCTAGCAGCTATGTTCTGTGTGTTGTATCACTCTTTATTGTATATAGATGCACTTGTGACCATACAGAAAATGGAGGAAAAAGTTCCTGGCATCAAATACGTTTTGCTATTACTTCTCCCCTCATTTTGCAGCCACTCAAAGAATGTCTACTGCTTACTCTCTGTTTTTATGTAGGTAGTTCATGTTACTGCATTCATCCAGGGCTCACATGGTCTAGCTGTACTTGTCTGCAGTTGGTTAGATACAGTCTTTAAAAAGCCAAGTTCTTGTTTTCCAGAAACTTTTTTCAGGCCCAAGAAATAGGTCCTATCAAAACTGGAATATGGGTATTCATCCACTTTAATCTTATTTCTGAGTGTTTGCCTTGTTAGCAATGCTGATGATGTAGAGATAGCAAAGTTTAAACCTTTTAACCTGTGCTGAATGCTAATGAGTTTTGGACATCACTTCAGAATTTTAAAGAAAGGAATACATCTTTTCTTATGATTTCTATTCTAAACTCAAACAAACCAACAATTTACAAGTTGATCTTGTATTTAGATTTTCAGGAAATGGATCAGTAGGAGGAATGTGGATTCAGTGATGAAAATTGTGTGACGAATATAACTTATTACAGAACTGTCAGCACTATCTGTCATGGCTGTGTGCTCAGAAATATGCAACATAGTGTGTTTTTCTGGTGTTAATGCATCATGGCTGTTTTCTTGAGGTTTTCAGATGGTCTTGCCTCTTTTGTACCTGCTTCTTAATGAAAATAATCACTTTCAAACTGCACTATTTCTCTTCACTAAATTATAGCATAAACACATTATAGTCTCGTGAGCTCCGGTATACAATGTGATAAATCCTGCGAACTACTAGTTGCAAAATCAGTTATTACTGAATTGATTCTTTAAAACTGGAAGTAGCACCTGAATTTTTTTTGAGGTTTTTATTCTGATAAATTTGCTTCATCAGGGGGCTTCTGAAGTGCAATTTTTCTGCTATGGGTTAAATACTGAGTTTACATAGAGAAGAATGAATTATAATGATTACTTATAAAAAAAAGGTAATTTACCTAACAAGTTATGCATAGATTGCTTTTCTGAATAATTTTTAATAACTGCATTATCTTCATATGTAGATGCTAGCATGCCAAAAAATGCTAATATCAGATCATCATTACACCATTATTTTGTTTATAGAGGAAGAATATCATATTTGGAAAATACACTTTTAAAATTACTCTTAGGTCATATTTTCAGCTTTGGATCATTATGTTACTTGCGCCTCACTTCCAATATGTTTGGAGATAAATTCACTCACAGATAATTTGGCTAGAGAAAAAATTTGATTGAAATATTGTCCTGCTCTGCTCACCCCTGTTATTTAAGTAAATCCCGAGTATGATACTAAAAAGGATGCTTTCACTGGTTGCTTTTCATGTGTCTGGTGTACAGTTGTAAAGTAGAAAATTCTGTATGTCACCAAAGGAAATCCAGGATTTTAAATTAATTTGGAAAAAACCCAATAATCTACATGTCTAGTTAACACAAGTGTTCAACTTCATATTGGCAGTGCTTATTTGATCATGACTTTTCATGGTTAGCCTCCTTGAGCATCCCAGCATCCTTGGCAGCAAATGCAGTCTCATCTCTGTACCATGGTACTTGCATGTAGAAGGGGAGATGTTAAGTGTCTGTCTACTCTTTTTCAAGAAGCTTTCCTGACGTTAGCGCCTTTCTGTCCTAGATAATTGTATCCTCACTATATGAAGCTACTGCATCCCAGGGCATTCGTACCTCATAGAGTCTTTGTTCTGTCCACGGCAGAGAGCACAGCTCTTTTTGACCATGGACAGATTGTTCATTCAGTCATGTGTTATTTCAGACATATGTTGGACTGTGTATAGCAGTAATTCAGAGTGCTGCAGTATTCTTATTGTAGTATTTTTGAACAGTCCCTTTTCAGGGATTTTTCAGGTAGTCTAATAGTGGATTCTGTGCTTTAAGGAAAAGATTGCCTGATGTACCTCTTTTCTTTCCGGTATTGACAACATACCTTTATAGCAACCATAGCAACCATATATAAAAATAAATTTTGATGGAAAAGTATTTAATATGTATTGATTGCAGTAATTATATCCTTTATTTGAATCTAGTTATGCTTTTATCCTTTACTCCTTGCTAAATTGCACGTGCCTCCTATGTTCCTCCAGTTTTTGCTCATCTCCTCCTAACCTCTTGGCCACTTCTTCCACTATTGTTTTCACTTCAGGTGATGTCAGCCAGACATTTGCATTTAGAAATTAATTTTTCCTCTTCATGCACATACATGTAGAGAATTCAGTGGGTGGAAAGCAACACAGACCGTTTTGTATGACACTTAGGAGGTGAAACAATCTAGTGGATTGTCTTGCCTTTACATATCTTCTGTCAGGACATTGTCCTGGTCACCATCTTACTCTGTGAAAACCCTTCTGAAAGTGAAGGAATAGCTTCTAGTTCTTCTTCCTAAGTTCTCTCTAGACATTAGATTCTTCTGACTGTAATATTACAATGCTTGTCTTAATTTTCTTTTTTGAATGCAGGGCCAAATTTTATATCTGTGTATTTTTATTTATTTTTGATATGAAGACTTGTGAATAACCAGTTGTTTTAGTGCCTTCGTTTGTTGATGCAAGATAGATGGCTACATCTCGCTTCCCTGAGGCTAAAATAATATTTGTTTTAATGATTGTATTCAAGTAATTGAAGAAGGAAACATTTACTTACAGTGCTTAAAAATATTTCTGTCAGTAATAACCTGAAACTGAGTAGGAAGGAACATGAAACTTGGAAAGATGCAATTTCTAATTCTGAATTTCTTTTGTGTACGCTACTGTTGTCTGCCATGTTGAAAAATACGAAGGAGACCAAACCAAAACCAGGAAAGCTCCCTCTCAACGTTGGCATTGTTTCTTCTGCTTTCTGGATAGCTGTCACACTTGGAGGACAGGACAGGTTCTGCTGAGGGCTCCCTACCAGAGGTGTGGTGAAACAAGCATTGGAAACAAAACACCTTTGATTTGTCCCACAAGATGACATAGGAACATGTATATGAGGCAATATGTCACAGAAAAAAGTAATGGGCTAGATAATGAGCTAATGATGCATTGTCCTGTGCAGTGGTTTTGGTGTGATTTTTGACTAAATTGAAAAACTGCTATGCTATTTAGTGTAATTTGCAGGCTTAAGGGAGGCCCAGCACTGGAACAGTGTGCATTTAGAGGATTTGGATCAAGGTGGATTGGCATGGAGTAATAATAAACTTATGTCAATGTCAGAGGTGCAATATTACTTAATATTTCTTTCTTTTAGAATCTTTGGCACCACTGTTCCATTTTAGTGCCAGTAAAGTTGGGTATGCTGTTTTAATAGCCTTGTTTAACCTGGCAAAGCTAGTCTTACACCTCATATCTGTCAGTTTAGCATGCAGAGGGGCAGACCTCTGAAATCTTTATATATTTCTTACCAGAACATAGAAGGTCTATGAACATGGCTGAGTTTTAGGCTGAAGGGCAGAAGTGCTGGACTGGATGATGATTCTGTCATGTCCCTTTTTGCTCCCAAATTTTATCTTTCATGCAGTGGCTCTACCTGGTGTGTTTTGTCCTCTAGGAATCTGTAGATGTATTAAAAACCAGTTGTATACTCTAAAGTGTGAGTCTCAGTGTTGAGAACATTAGCTGTTGAGACAAGAACAGTGTAGAGGATGTAGACCTGGATCATATTAGAATGACAGCTTATGGAAATTCTTTGGTGGGGACTATTATAAAAGAACACCATGTAAAAGAGACTAATATAATATTCTACTTTGACTTGCAACATAACTTTTCATGTAAAATGTTATAGTTTCCATCTTTAATAGTTTAAGCTTTGTGATTGATGAAGTGCTACATGACTGAGGGCCCTAACCTACCAGCTAATTAGCATTTGTGGGAAGTGTCATAAAGTCTTAGTTCTCATGTAATAATTGGAATCTATACTTGGCATGGCTGGACGGTACACACTAGGTGATATTGTCCAGTTCATGTTAAATTAAAATGTGTTGTACAATTAATTGTATGCGTTACTGTTAGCTCTAAAAAAGAAGAACTTTACATACGATCAGATTAGGAGTATACTAGCGTAAACACGTGAGTCCTACTCTTGTGCTTAGAAATTTGCATCAGTGATATTGCTTGATGCAGGAATTCTGGCTGAGAACACCACTGAAATGGAAACTTCTGAATCCAGCATGGTCCAGGAA